TCGGATTCTAGTTAATATTTATTAATATATATATATTTATTAAAATATGATACACATAAACATATGGTATTGTTAATTATTAATTTCATTAAGTATTACGTAAATAAAGGATTTTAATTCTCAATTTTAATATTTAATTTTGCTAGATGTTAATTAATTTGCGCGCTTAGTGTCGAAACAATGTGTTTTCCTTCTTAGTGTAGTATTTCTGCTAAAGAGCATGCGATCACCTTACAACGATTATCGTTCATAACAGGTATCAAAGTGAGAGCCGCCGCGTATCACACATACCGCAACTCTCACCACATTTAAAGAGCGTACATAATTAGCGTTGCATACAAGGTCGACCAGTCAATTCTTGTTACATGATATAGTCAAAATATTTTTATTATCTTGATAAACTAAACCAGAGAGAGAGGGGGAGGGGGAGAGGGGAGGGGGAGAGAGAGAGAGTTGTGATCATTAGATTCGCTGTAATTCCTACTGGAGCATGCAGTTGCTTGTTGATTAGCGATAGTTTTTGCCGTGCTTCATGTTCAATCTTTGTAAAGTCGCACTAATAAAAAGTGTATGATAAGGTTGATTTTTTAAAGTAAAAAATTTCACTAGACTTTTTGCAATTATCGCGTCACCTTCTAAATATTAATTCATCTGTTTCTAACGTACGATATTTCTACTACAATGAATCTTATATTAAGTGTTTATTACAGAGTTTGTTTTTAGTTCGAAAGAGCAATTTGCTAATATGTTTTCATGACTGACGTTAGAAGATAATATCTCTTTAATTACAAAATGCGTTTTTAACAATAAGACAAACACTTTGCAAGTTGGCGTGTTTAAAAAAGAATAAATCCGCCTTAAATTTTCTAAAAAGTTGCTAGTTAGCAAAAAGTCTGAATCATCTCGTATCGTATAAATCTTATTTCGACCTTATGATTGCTACACTATAAGCTACACGCAATCATTAGAAATTTAAATTTTCACTGAAAGAGTGCGCAGTAATTTTGAATTACTGTTTCTTACTTTAATGAAAACATTTACATGCTTGAACTGTATATTCATATTTACGTTTTTTCATAAAAATTTAATTAGATACCTTCTTCTCTTATAGTCTTTTAATTTGATAAAAACGCAAAATATGTGTGGCAATACTTTCTGGAATATTAGTTAGATATACATATCTTTGAATATGTTAGATACAAGTATTTTAATTTTATTATTACCTATTCTTTTTATTATCACTTTTGCTTTCGTGAAACATGAAAATAGATGATACATTCTTACCTCGAATACATTTTACATTTTTCTGCAAATGACAAAAGTTATTAAATAACCTTAGATAGAAAAACTAATTATACTGAAAATATGATTCTAATAATTGCAATTTGCGATTTCAACATTATAGTTTGCAATTGAATCGTGTCAATAATACCGCTAATTAAATCTCAGTATTTCGACAAGAGTGGTAATTATCTGATAGTTATGAGTTATCTAATGAAACACCGTTATTAGATCAGTTAAATATTAGATATTAGAATGCGTGATTTATTATTCTGTATAGGTTTTGTTAATATCTTATGAATAAGAAAAATGTTTAATCTCTAAAAATCGCTTTAGATATTTTCACGCTTGAAACATCATAAAATGACGCTGATGATTAATGTTAACACGGATATTTTTAGTGCGAGTTAAAAATTTAATCATATGACAGAATTAATGGCACATAAATCGATTAAAAGATTAAAATCAAATTTATATTAATATTACAGCAATTAATATATCGCAGTCAATGTCTTCAAAGTTTTCTCTCCTTTTGTATGTGACCGTTGTGGATAAAAACTCGAGCTAAAATTAAAAAAAAATCGTTGAAGAAGATGAATAATATAGAGAACAACAGAAATAAAAATTGTGCTCACCTCACGAAGTCAACAAGTCACATACAAAGTAATAGTAAATTACACGAGAATTGCAGAACGTCATCGCAAATTATAATTAAAGACATTTACTGCAATATATTAATTGCTGTAATATTAAAGTTGTAACGCTGAAGATGATTCAAACAGGTCGAAATCATATGTTATTATTAATTAAATGTACATCTCGAAATTTGTAACAACCAGAAGTTGACTCTTATAGCCTTTTGTATGAATTTTTTAATTATTTGTTGTAACTATAAGTATAAGTCTTAAAAATAAAAAAAATTATCTGGAAATTTCAGATGAATTTTCAGATAAATTTATCTAGATTATCTAGGTGAATTTAATTGAATCATCTTTATCTTATCTAAGACAAATTTTCAAATTTTCATCTTATCTTTATCTAACTAATTTTAAAATCATCTATGCACAACACTGTCGTTAATAAAAATAAAAATGTAGATTAAATTTTTTTTTGTTATTTTGTATTAAATTAATTCTTAGATAAAACTATTATTAATTCTTTTTTCTACAAAAAAAAAAGCGATGAAAATTATTGTTAAATAATTCATTAAAAAAGCCGATAGCTATAAAATATCTTGTATAAACACGTGCACTATGTTAAATACTATGTGCAACCTAATGGAGGTTAAAGTGCAGTAGGTCAGTGGAACACGAGTGATAGAGGACAGGTTGCACAGCACAGTTATATACGCATCACTTCGATTAGCTTCACTATCGCCCATTAGTTTATCCTTAACATGTCTACGTAAAAGCTTGTTATTTTAAGAAATCAGGGAAACTGAATTTTCTAATTTGATTGTGATCAGGAAATGTCTTAAAAGAGTAATTGCATGTAATAGTAGTTATACAATAATAGAATTATTTATATATCACACATACGTGTGTACATATATACACATATAAAGTAACATACACAATACGTCACATCACATTATAATATATTATATGTAAAAATATCACATTATAATATATTATATGTAAAAATAACTTAAAAAAAGTTCTTGATTTCGTTTTATTTTAAATGTAGAAAAGTAAAGAAAGTGTATAAAATACAGTACCATCCAGTATTAAACTTTCAAGTAATATTCTGTCATTGAAATTTTTGAAGCTAATAAGTAGAAATGTTTTTTTGATAACAATTAAGATCTCTGTATATTTTTGTACACCAATTCAATTTTTTATTTTTAAATGTATCATGAATCTATTTTAAATATTTTTTGAGCCCTAGAAATACAATTTTAAAGGTGTAAAAATACTTTTTAAAAAGCTTAAAGTGAAAAGAAGAAAATTATTTCTATGCTTTTTCTATGTTGTTCCTTTTTTAACGCCTCTTCCGGGCGTCCTTATCCTGTGCCTGCATCCTTCATTCTGCGATACCGTTAGGTTCAGTAAGAGAATACGAGTTTCTTACTTGTCTTATTTTCGCCGTACGTATACTGTATGAACGGCAGGCGCAGCATGATTTTCACTCACGTTTCGTATCACACGAGATATGCACTCTCTTACGTAATTCAAAATTTATTACTTTACCCAAAATCTTCTATTAATTTTTTCTTGTAAAAGCAATTTCCTCTATCGCTAGAAAAGATTACTCTTGTTTAAAATTTTAACGGATCGGAGTTA